CTACCTGCGTACTTGCGGATACAGCTATGTGATCATACGTCGTACGCATGACAAACATGTAGCAATGTACATCCGTATGCGTACAGGTATTACTGCCATAGTGAATACATGCCTTGTATGTATGTAACTCTGTATGCATGTATGTATGTATGCGTGTATGTATGTATTTTGTAGGTATGTACTTATGTGAATGTACGTAAGACACCGTATCGATCAGCTTCGTCGTTATACGTCGACAGATAATAGCGAACGTGGCAGCTACCGCTTGCAAGGCGACGTGACCTGGCACCGCCTGGGACGAGCGCAGGCATCAGCCTTGCAGCAGTAGAAGGTCGATTCAGCCGATGCGCACTTTCAGGAGATGGGGTGCAGGTTCCACGGTTGTATGGGCACTATATTGGTGTATATTAACAATCACATTGCTAAGAGCAGATGACGAAACAAGTGCAGCATATGTTGATCAGGAAGCGGTGTACTATACTACGACTGTACGGTGTTTGTCGCATGGTTTACGGTTGAGAGGAACCATCATCTTTTCCGGCATATAGCACACCTACAGTTGTTGCATCTGTAGACGAAGCCATCAGAGCTGCAAACTTGCATGTGTGTACATACATACACACATACATACATACATACATACGTACGTACGTACATACATACATACATACATACAAAACTTGACATGCGTGTATATATATATATATATATATTTATATATATATATATATATATATATATATATGCACGCATGTACGACCACATCATCATATACATACGTATATGCGTATATGCAGTTGTGTATATGTATACACATGTATATCTGTATATATGTATGTCTGTATGTCTGTATGTATGTACAAATATGTGTCAACATATCTACAGTATGCTCCTCTGTCTCACCCTCTTCTCTCTCTCTCTCTCGCTTTCTGTCTCCTAGTATGTATGTATGTACGTATGTATATGTATGTAGGTATGTACTGCACTGTGATGTAATATATGCACATACGCACGTACTTATGTGTACATATGTGCAAAAGCAGACACACACACACACACTCACGCACATGCTACCGGGAACTCCGTGAGTCAAGATGGAATACGTACAAGGCAAGGGAAGGCACTGCAATGCAAGGTCAGGAAGGTACGGTACTGCCGAGGGGTCCCCAAAACTCTGATACAGCAAGCATACGTACTACGCGGAGATTCGCAGCAGCAACAAGAATTCTGAAGCTGAGGCCCAGCCGGCGGACAGCCCCAGTTTTCTGATTTGCTTTTGCGACGGCTTTGAGCTACTTGGCGAGGATCTTCGTCTTGAGGCCTCCTTCATTGCCAGGGCCGACCTGCAAACCCAAGATCCCGTAACTTTCCGAACCCCCCCCCCACCAAGGCCCAGTTCCTTTCGGCCGTCGCAGCAGTAGCAGTAGCAGCAGTAGCGGGGCCGCAACTGCAGAGTCGTTCTCCTAGTAGTAGCAGTAGTTGTCATCGTAGTAGTAGTCGTCGTCTTCGTCGTCGGCGTGGTGGTACTGGTAATTAATTAGTCGTAGGAGTAGTAGCAGTAGTAGTGGTAGTAGTAGTAGGAGGAGCAGCAGCAGCAGCATAAGTAGCATGGTGGTGGTGGTGGTGGTGGTGGTGGTGGTGGTGGGAGTAGTAGTAGCAGCAGATGCAGCAGTGTTAGGTAGTACCCGTAGTACTAACAGTACCTGTCGTAGAAGTCGTACAAGTCGCACTACTCGTTCTAGTGGTGCTAGCTCTACTGGTTGTGGTTGTTGCAGTTGTAGCTGTATTCGTGACTCTAGTGGTAGTGGTTGCAGTGGTTGCAGTGGATGCTATACTATATGAATATGTGCCATGATCTACTGCAATTCGACAATAAAATAGACTCTAATGTGCTATGCATTCGCCGAAGCTCTGAGGTTCGACGTCTCGAGCGATGGCTCGGGACACTGCCGCAGCAGCGGGGTTGAGGAGCCCATTTCGGGCCGCTGGGTCCTCTTGGTTATGCTACAGTCTGTTATAGTAGGTTGCAGTATAATGCAGTAGGTTTTAGTATACTCTAATATATTATGGTATACTCTTTGTAGAGTATAGTTATGGCAGCATTGGCCCATTGACAGTAGGCATGGAGTACTTCGTGGGGGTGATACTGCTCATGGCACTAGGCAAACAGAGCCGGCATCAAGGAGAGTACGACTGGCATTTTAAGACCCACCCGCAAAGAAGTGAGAGCCCCCCCCGCCCCGCGGCTGTCTCGCGCCAGGATTTTCCACAAGCCCTTGGTACCCTTCAGCTGCTGCGGGTTGTTTCACAACCAGGTACCTTCGACCCTGAAGCCGTAAGATGTCAGCTTGCAGTTCTCAACTCAAACATCGCCATGCCCTTCTTGAGCTGACCTGCGCAGATCGCGTTTTTACCGGACAACCCTTCACTTTGGACATCCGCTGCAACGTCACCAGCCAGGAGCCCAGACTAAGTTAGGCAAAAGATTCGAGAACCGGATCCGTGGCCTTGTCTGCGATGCGCAGTGATGTTCATTGCATGAAGATGCAATATCTTCTATAGCCTACCAAAAGTACTTACCTACCTACCTACCTACCCACCTACCCACCCACCGACCTACCTGCCTACACACATGCATGCACATATACATACGCACATACATACATACATACATACATACACGAACACGCATACATACAAGCTCGAGAACACCAACGCCCTACAGAATTACAAACCCTAAGAACTCAAAGCCCTGAGTCCTGGAGTACAAACACTCAAGCCGCAACCTTATCCAACCCCAGGGACACGCTTCCAGCCTGAAGCCCAAAGCCCGAAGCCTTGGAAACTCCAGAACCTTACAGCCTTGTAGTAACCCTAAACCCTGATGACTTGAAGCCCCGAATCCTGGAGTCACCATATGAAAACCCCCCCCCCCCCCCCCGCCAGGTTCCGAAGGCTGCTCGGGACTGCGAACGGCCCGGATCCGACTTATCGAAGCCGGGGAGGACCGGGGCCGTTTCGGGGAATTTTCCTCACGATTCTTTAGCGTTTGTGGTGTTTAGGTGGTTTGCCTGTGTTAGGGCTTGCTACTGGTTTTGGTGTGCAGGTCGCACTTAAGATGTCACGTCTTGCAGACATGTCAGGACAGCTAGTGCTGACAGCTACCACGACTGGAAGGTCAACTGCCCTCGACTTCTGTTGGTTGCCACCCTCGGCGCAGACAACTCCAAATTGTAATAGATCTAGTACCCTAAACCCTCTGCCATGTTCAGCCTGTGAGTGAGGACGGCAGCTTCGGGGATGCGGGGCCATCCGATCGTTGCCGCTTTGGCGCCGAGACGTCATTGCAGGCCCGGGCTCAGCCTTCATGCCCAAGATGGCCCAAGCAATCCCCCACCTCCTCTCCCAAACCCAAACCCAGCTTTTGCAGGTCCCAGCAAACTGCGGCCCCGGTGGGTTGACGAGCGGTGGCAGCCTCGCAGTGTCGGTGAAGTCGGCTGAGTCGATGTCGGGAGAGAGGGGTCAAGCTTGGGGCCTGGGCAGTTTGGGAGGTTCGCGCACCAGGTCGGTGTGAGGCAAAGTCGTGTTTGCATGAGGTGTCGCCCCCTTCAACTGTCAGCTGGAGCCGGTGGTGGCCACGACTGCAGGCAGAAATGCGGGCGAAGGGTTGAGAGATCTTGAGGGATGCGAAGGTGAGAGGCCAGGAAGCCAGCTTGAACCTCTTCTTGCTTTCTTTTCTGTTGTGGCGGCGAGGCTGGCGCTGGGCTTTGGAGCTCCGGCCTAGGCGCCGGGGTCGCGCGTCTTTGCCCACGGCGCTGGGCGTGTGCTTCTGCGTGCCCTGGCTTGCGACGTTAGGCTGGCGCCAGACCTCGCAGCCGCCTTTAGCTCTTTAGGCGCCGCTTTGAAGTGCGTGTGCCAAAGAGACGAGGATGGCCTCGGCGAAAGCGGATGCAGCAGCGGTGCAAATTGGCTTCGCAGCTGGGCAGCATCAAAGCGTGCGAAAAACAGAGAGTTCGTCCCATACACAAGCCTGCAGTATACCAGTATCCTTCCCTGGCATCGGATCCTCGAGAACTAACATGCAGCAATCCGCTTGATTCTTGAGCAAGCCATGACTAGTTCGTACGCAAAGCCTCTGTTCTGTTTCAATGTCAAGAAGCACGCTTACGAAAACTCCTGCGCAAGTCTGGACAGTCTGGATCAACTCAACCTTCGAAATGTCGCTCAATAGAGCTCAGACTATCGCTTGTGCCGGAACATGTCAGCGCTGCACAGTACGGGTAGTTCTGGGACATGCTACCGGTTTAACCTACGAGGCTACGATTCCATGGTAACTTGTCCGCTGTGTTTGGCCGGGTTGCTTTGGTGGTGTCAGAGTAGCGATCGAGAGGTATTTTCATCCCGACTCGTTCAATCTTTATCACGCCAGCCGACCCGCTTGCTGTTGTTAACAGTTCTTAGCATGCTGCCGTTCCGCGAGGTGTCGGTTCCCTTACGGCAGAGCCACTGCTGTTGCTGCCCTTACAGCGTCTTGCAGGAGAGGTCCAGGCCTGTTGGGGCAGCCGTTTCGGGGTCGGAATACTTGGCAATATCCCCCCTGGTATCACATTTCATATGTATGGTTATGTATGTATGCATGTATATATATATATATATATGTGTGTCTGTGTATATATGTATACATTCCCCAAAACCCTCTGCTAATGATCAGGGCCGCTATATCAACTTCCTGACATGTCTGCATACACGTGAGGGTACGGCGGACCGCATCTACAGGGGGGTTGTCCACGGTCGGAATCAGACAGATCCAGGACCTGCGGCTGGAAGCGCCCGGAGGCCCCTCTGACAACAGCAGGGCCGGAACTGGGAATTGAGGTGCTGCTATCCTAAAAGTGAAGCTTCCGAAGCTTCTGCATGGTTTGCTTTCGCCTCATCATATCAGAAGCGCCATGCTGAACTCCGCGGCACCTGCAATATAAACGGTGATCAGCAGAGCACCGATGTTCCTGTACTCCCTGTCAGGTCGCTTTGATACAGCAGCCCAGCACATCCTCAAGCTCATCGCGGACGATGCAGGGACTCTGCAGGAGCAGGGCAAAGAACAGTCAAGGTCATCAAGTCAATGGATCGGAAAGTGCAAAGGCAACTCGAATCAGTTGGGTTCAGCCCCAATCTAAACCTGACTTCGACCCCTACACCCACAGTATCTTGCTACAATCCTGCATCCTAGAGTATGCCTGCGCAACGATGTAAGTTCGTCCCGAAAACCCACAAACCGTAAGAAACTGTAAGAAATATCCAGGAGTCCAGCTGCGCTTCTGCACTGCCGGAGCCCGAGCGGGTGAGCCTCCGCTGCTTCGCGGAGGGCTGTCCTTCGGCGGACCAGGTGGGCTGCTCGTTTATCACGTATTGTAGAAGCCTGAATAGGCACTCACTATAGGGTTCCGCATCGTAAATATGCTGTAATATGTACCGGAACTCTATTCTCGTTGTTAGTGCCCCAATGTCAGGAACTTAATTGACGGAGCCCTGGTTGCATTCACCGTCTACTCGCAGGAACTTGCATGGTGTCGCCATATGATAGCCGTGATGAGCCTACAGGACCAAAGCCATGTTCCTTGCCTGATTTCATTTTCACTACGGCACAGGTGGCAGAGGAGGTGCTGGGCTGGCAGCGCCTTCAAATCTCACTGCCAGGCCGAAGGGAGCGTCCGGGCTTTGGGCTCTGTGGCGTCTTCTGATCCGTAAATCTGTAGATCAGCTGCCCGACGATGGTGCAGCTGCGGCCCCAAGCCGCAGAAGCTTTTCTGTCTATATTCATGGACTGCGTTTGTCAGTACGATCGTCCAGACATATAAAGTTGAATGAGCACACTTTTGCTTTTTTCGCCGCAGGTTGGTATGCAGCTTGCTACTGCCAAGTGGCGAATGCAACGGCGGGTTGCGAGGCAAGCACATTCTTGCAGCATTTTACCAGACTTTTGCAGACTATGGCTCTGGGCTGTGTGGTATTGTGCGGTCTTGCCAGAGGAGGGAGGGGATGCACGTTTATGGTCTGGGATCTGGCAAGGAGTTTGACACTTCCGAGCAAAAGTACCGAGCCGCCTTGTCTGTTGTCACTCTGACTTTCATTGAACCCGTGAACCTGAGCCGGGCATTCGCCGAGATGGCAAAAAGGCAGCAGAGCCGCAGGAAGTGCCATAACCAGGAACCAATAGCAGCAGGGGGCGGCACACAGCAAGTCTCTTGCTAGTTGTCCTAACCCAGATGCCACGCCTAAACCCTGAACCCCAAAACCCCCCCCCAAAAAAAACGTCCTTGAAGGACGGCTCCTGGCAGCTCTTGGGCTGGCAGCTGGCAGCAGGTGTCGCGACGCTGACCGCCGGAAGTGCCTTGGGATTTCAGTTTACTTGCGATGTTTATGGTCAGTAATTTAATATAGGGTGTAGGATTTCAGAACCTCTTGGATTTAGTTAGACTTCATGTTGATTGGCGTGGTTGAGGTTGTTGTCGCTGTCGCTGCTGTTGTGGTGGCGGCGGCGGCGGCGGCGGTGGTGGTGGTGGTTTCTCTTGCAGCGAAACATTAACAAAAACCCTTGTGTGTATTATCTGTCTCTCAGCGTGACGTACGGGCAAACTGTCATTGCTTCAGATCGTCGCCCGGTGTGATTTCAAGCCTCTGAAAGCTCATCATAGCCTGTCGAGAACCCCACAAGGTACTAGTACAAGGGAGTGGCAACGTTTGCTTAACCCACTTGATTCATCCTACTAGGCACTTCGAAGTATTCTTTCCCCCTGTCAGTCCATACATCACCCATAGACACAAAGTGAAGCCGTCCGTGTGTTGGATTGTCGCTTCAAGCCTGTAGTGGTTTCAAGCCTCTATAAGCGCGCAGTACCTTAGGGTGCCTTTAAAGGATTACTATAAGGCAACTATAAGGGTTCCTTTCAAGGGCTCTGTCAGGGGTAGCCTACCAAGAGCCCAAGAAGGCAGTGGCGCGAGCCCCGTCGTGTACCGCGGTGGCCACTTCCTGCTGTCCCTGCGCGGAGCGGGCTTCACCCCAGAGGCAGCCAATGTTGAGTCACAGGGAATTAGGGGGGTAAGGGGAGGGGGGTGTAGGGGACTATGCTTCCTTAAGTATAGGCCTTATTAAGTCCCTATTTTAGGTATTAAGGCCCCCGACCCCCCCTCCCCCTAGCCCCGTAAGGGTCTTTACGATTGGGATAGCAAAGTCCAGTACAGCCAAACAGAGTACGGGAAGTAAAATGTACGGGTGAGGTAACGCGCAGTTGATTCCGGAGTATCTTTCGTAGTTCCGTGTGCTTTCTATGTGGTAAGTGTTTGTTTGTGCATAAGACCTGAGATGTGGGAATATCCAGGTCTGAGTCTGGACGCTGTCCTGTATGTGGCAGTTTCGTGACAACATGATACATGTATTTGTATTTGTTTCCGAGTATCTTATTGCAGTTCACGCGATTCAGCATTCATTATTCGGCATTAGAATTAAAGTATCTTGTATTACAAAACCTATTTGGCACCATTTCTGCGCAATTGGAGCGCTATGTAGCACATATTCTAGCACTAGTTTAGCCCAATTTCAGCACTATTCTAAGACAAGAAGCCTTGAATTTCATTTAATCTGTTCTAGGATCATGCAGGTGTACCAAGATAATCGTGCTTTCACTCGAAGAGTTTGGTGACTCTTCAGGCTAACTTTAGTTGCTCTGAGCGCCCTGCACGCGTTCTTGCGCGCGCGGCAATGTGTGTGTGGCTCCTGCTGTGGCGCGATGGACCTTTTCGAGTAGAGTCACATTTGTGACACAGTGCGCCCGCGTCCTCTGGGCATGCCCAGCTCAGCGTAAATTCCAACACTTTGGCACTGCCCAACTTGATTGGCCCGAAGTCCCTGGAGCCCTAGACTCCTGGCCGGGCCTCAGTCCTTTGGTGTGGAATCAAAATTCTGCTAGTTTACGGGGTGTAGGAGCTCTGCAACACATCGAGGCTCGCGGCGGGGTGCCGTGAATATGCCATGTGGGGAGGTGCATTGTCTTCCCGCCAGACAGAATCCCGATCGTGCTCCCGCCACAGTGTCTTGCGCGTTTGGGCCCTCAAAGGTGCTCCTGGCATGGTTTTTGGGTACACTGGGCTTCGCTAGGTCCAAGGTCCTAGGTGCTCTTTCAATGTTGGGGATCTACGTCGGCACGTTTTTGTTGGCTGTGCTGCGCTTCACCAGGATCGGCTCCACATCCAAGCAGGTGAGGTTGCCTGTGTACCGTGGGCAGACTACCAAGCAACTGGGTGGAATCGTGGTTGGTTAAGTAGCTAGTTCCAAAGATGTCTGTGGTAGAGCTGGCATAATTAGACCGTACAAAGTTGCAGTCGTGGCATATATGCAGGACTAAAAGGACGGGTGGCAGGTCATGTACTGGTTGGAGTGTTAGAGACATCGGTAGGAGTAACAGAACAGCATAGAATGTTGCATCGGGCAGAGAGGGCGTGGAATGTCGTGGAGCTTCAGATGAGGTTCCTGTGACTTCAGAGGCTAGGGCAGGCCCTTAGGAGATGTGAGGAAGGTTACAAGAATTGCCAGCTTCTGAAAAGTTCTGGACTCTGGACGGTCGCATTCGGTGGTGCAGAAGATTTTCGGCGAGTGGTCCCGGACCTGAGATCCCACATATCGAAGCAGAGGCGACTGCTGGCAGCGCACCTGTGGCTTTGGCCGCCGGAGCGTCTGAGGAACCGACGCTGCCAGGCTCGGAGGGAGGAATGGTGGAGTGTTCCTGTGCTGCAATGTTTAGGTCGTCTCTTTGGCAGTTGAACAGGCTCAGGGGGTGGGTTGTTTGGATGTTGCTCGGGATCAGTGCAAGCATCCCTCACATCTGAAGCAGATGCCTTCGTGGACAGGCTCGCTGGCGCCCGGAGAGCTGCGCAGCTTCAGCCGCGAGGATTGTTTGGGAGCAGGGCCACATCATGCGACGAATATGTATGTGACAGGGACTAAAGGGTACCTTGCTACGTACATCAGCCTGCGTTTTTTTTTTTTGTGTGTGTGTGTGTGTTCGTTTTTCGTTTTCAACCATCAACAAATCCAAACAATCAGTAACATGACTGCAGGGGAGTGTGGCGCTTGCATCCTACCACACTCAACGAAACTGTGGATGCAAGTGGGAAGCGGGACCTGATCAGTCCTGTGTACTTGCAAGGCAGCCCCCTGGGGTGCCAAGATTAGTTTCAGGACAGGCCCCGTGTGGTGTCCAGATCAGATAACAACATACAACACTCTTCTTTTCTCCTGACCTCTCCTCTTCTCTTCTGCCGAATCCATCAGTGTGTGTGTGTGTGTGTGTGTGCGTGTGTGCGTGTGTGCGTGTGTGCGTGTGTGTGTGTGTGTGTGTGTGTGTGTGTGTGTGTGTGTGTGTGTGTGTGTGTGTGTGTGTGTGTGTGTGTGTGTGTGTGTGTGTGTGTGTGCCTGTGCCTGTGCGTGTGCGTGTGCGTGTGTGTGTGTGTGTGTGTGTGTGTGTGTGCGCGCCTGTCTGCGTCTGTCTGCATGCTGTTTGGTCACCGTACTATACGCATCTAGGTATGGTGTAGGTATGTGTGCACACCTTTGCCATGTTCAAAGATTGAGTTGGTAGTTTTGGGCAGACAGCGATGCGCAGCAAGTCTCATGTCACAAGCTTTGCCAGACCCATGCCCACATTTCTGTATATGCCAAAGAAGTACACCATACTTTGCAAACTCTCGCAATTGCTCGATTCAAGGATGCTGTCGTTCTCCGTCGTGCAGCCCCTGCCTTCCAAAATCCTTTCGGTGTCAAGCGTCTTGAGCACTAGACGGGTGCGCAGGGGATCCGTGGCCGGCTTTCACTGACGAGAGCCCACGGCTCCTGGGATGCAGATGGAAGGTGAGGCGTTCCTCCGACCATCTCAAGGTTGAGGCTCAAGCTCCCGTTAAGCCTTTTTTTGAGCTGTGCTTTTTGGCCGAAGCTCCAGGATAGAGCGCTTCGACCCATGGCCCATTTTGGGACACTCTTGGCGGCTAGGTTGTTTAAGGTTTCGGGTCGGGGAGCCCAAAGTTGAAAGGGCCGTCGCAGGACGGTAGCTTCGACGAAGCATCTGCATCAGCCCTCAGAAGGGATCGCATTATTTGCGTCGATGTTGGGAAGGTTGGGGGTTGGTTCTGTTTTGTTTGTCAGTTTTTCGAAGAACCCTAATAAATCATTGTAGTCCCCAGCCCTAATAACCCAGATCCACCTTTCAGGCCTCCAGGCAGGCGATACGCTCCGGTTCGCCAATCTCCTGGTGGTTGGCCCGGCCTGTGGCAGTGCGCCCCGGCTTGCACTTATCTTGCCCTCAAGATTTCGCTGGGGAAGTGGTTGTGTTATCCTAGTTACCACGCGATGGCAGGACTCACTGCAGGGCTTTTGCAAATAGTCGCCGCAAGACACCCCACAAAGGGTATTTTAGCGTTCGATAATTAACAGGATCCCGGAAGAGGACCCCTCAAAAGGCGGCCGGAACTCCAAAATCCACCCTGCCCCCGCCAAAGCCGGCCGGGAGGTGTTCTCGCCGGTACTGGCTCGCAATGTCTCGGACTGCCCGGGGCCCAAACGACAGGACGATCCAGCAAAGGTCAGTTGGAAAAAGGGGTCGGAATAAGGACCAATAAGACTACACTACAAAAAGAATGTTTGAAATGAAATTGAAAAGAATACAATTACTGAGATCCGGTCCTAATTCCCACTTGAGCTTAGGACGTGACATCTCAGTGACTTTAGACTTTATCGTTGCTTGCCGGGGCAATGTTAGGATGCCTTGCACTTTAGTAGCTGACGAGCTTGCTCAGCTGCTCCAGCAGTCTTGGCAGTGAGACGAGCTTCTTTTCCCGGGTGTCGAAGCTAGAATGACGGTATCCAACAGAGCCAGACTGGGAAACCCTCACAACCGCTTTGCCCATGAACCTGCTCCAGAGGCTTGTGCATCTAAGTTCGTTTCTCGCTGTCTCATGCCTGCCCCGAATCAGCACCAGAGAACTCCCTATCCTAGACGATCGTACCTGCCCCGAGGCCTGGAAATGCTGGAATCTGGACCCATCAACGTCTTCAGCGTGCCCTCTGAGACGGAGGAGCGGCGTCCTGAATCTATAACCCTACACAGCAAACCTAAAGTCATGAAGCACTTAAGAGATTAAGCGTTGCTGACCTCTCAAACCCTTTCTTCACAGATACTTGGTAGGTAGTGGAAGCACCGTAGCTCCACACCCGAAGCCTCAAACTGAGTGTCCTGGAACTTCCTGGAAGAGTGAGACGAGACTCCCCCAACAGGCCAAACACTTCCAGCTCACGGGGTGAACTCTCTTTTCACAGATTCATAGTTTCGGATAACCTCCCGCCCGTGTGTAGGGAATCTCAGCACAAGAAGGACACTGCCGTTGCTACATGTCTTTTTCAACAACAGTTGAGTCACAGCAGAGGCACCGGAGAATATGAACATAACTAGAACTAGTGCGAATGACAACTGTAGTGGCAAGAACAGTAACAGTAAATGGGAGTTTCCGAAAATGGGGGACCCCAATATAGTGCCCTAAATAGTAGGATCCTCCTTATAGGGACCCCAAAATAATGTACCCCTCATTTCGCAAACTCCCAAATAGACATAGGAAAGCAGCTCGGAGGTGGTTCTGGAGGTTTCCCTCTCCGAGGAGGAGTTGCTTGGCCCTGTTGGGACATAGTTGTGTCATGGCACGCAGTAAGTCTGCGATCTTTCGAGTTATGAGCGCCGCGATTGCGACTTTCCCCCTTCAAAACACTAAAACACTACGTTCGAGAGCCTCGCAGCCACGGTTCAGAGGCCTTACAGAGCTGAGGAGCCCGCACTCGATCACCCCTGAAGCCCAAGCTGAGCAACCCCAAGTCCTGAACTGAGCTGTCGAGACAGGCTGTCGGGTTCGAGTTATAAGACGGGTTTAGGGTTTAGGGCTCTTGGGTCGAAAGTTCGCAGCCTAGGCATAGAGAGCGAAATGAAGCAGAACGATCGGGATGACCAAGCTGAAAACAGGTAAGTACCAACTTTGGTCCATGACGTAAGTCCATACAGTGAACGATACATATACATGGTACATGTAAACGCATACTCTTGCGATAGTGCCATGCAAGCGAGTCCTGTGAGGACTCAGCCGGAGCTTTGGTTCACTAAGAATCTTAGTGGATTCGAAGGCATGGAAGGCATGGCACCGTATCCACTATGCAAAGCAATCTTTTCAGGTTGATTGGTCAGCGGGGCACTACCCTTTCTGCCAGTGAGTTTGTGCAGATGCTGATCAGGCGATATTGAATTCAGGGTACACCCCCGCCCTCCTCCCCGTTTGGTCAATCTCCTCCAACTTCCAATAGCATTAGTCGTCTTTTTCAGTACCGCTGCCGGTGGTACTGTTCCTACCACGCCGGCAGCAGTTTGCACTCCCGCTCCCAGTCCTGCTGCTGTTCTGTTGATGCGGCTGCTGCCAATCCCACTGCAATTGCGACCATTGCCGATGCCGCGACTACCAATGCGGCTGCTCCGCCCCAACCCTCGCCGACGAGCTGTTGTCCAGCCTTGTCAGGCCATGCTACATAGTAGAGTGACAGGAGTAGAAGTACTACATTATCTTGACTGATCTTTACTATGTATCGAATCTTATGTTGCACCATGCTGTATTATATTGCACTATATATCATTATTGTGTGTTGTATTGCATTGCAGCTGATAAGTTATGTGCATATCTACCAACTTCCACGATATTCTACTGTACCATGTGCTGTACTAGCTACTAGATAATATGGGTGATATTGGTTCATGTTTTGTATAAAACCACGTGATACCATATGGTGTTATATGTTCTGTTATGGTCGTATTGTGTTTGTCTTACGTGATATGTTATGCTCGTACGCTGTATTCTGTTATAGTGAGTTATCTGTTATCGAACATGTGTTACAAACATAGTCTTATTATAGCATCGTTTCGTATAAGGGTAACAAAATACTGTTATAGAATCGCATGGTATTGCATTGTTATGTCCAGTTGAGTTGTAAGTTGAGTTGTAATATGTCAGAGCATGTGATATATTGCGTTATGAGAAGCTGTGTAGTGCTCGCTACGCCATGTTATGTTATGTTTGCCAGGCTATGTGAGGTGATGTTATGCTTCACTATGTTAGGTTTTCGTATCATCATTATGCTAAAGTGCTGTACCTTGTCTCGACTTGTAGAGTTCACAATAAGCGGACTGAAATTCACAGCAATATCAACACTACTGCTAACAATTATCGTAATCGTTGGATTTTTTGTACATATATATATATATGTAATTAACTATGTATATACATATCTGCACATACAGGTATATGTACATGTACATACAGTCATGTAGCTATGCAATTATATCGTTATGTGTGTGTATGCATGTATGTATATATATATATATATATATATATATTATATGTATGCATATTTATATGTACATATATTCATACGTCTACAGATCTAGGTGTGCATGTATGCCTGTCTGTCGGTATGTAAGTGTGCATATGATGGTGTTCACGTGGTACATACATACATACATACATACATACTTGTTTGACTTGACAAGACATGACATGACATGAATAATACATACATACATACATACATACATACACAGATACATACATGTATGATATGTGTATGAAACCCGGACTCCAGGCTCCAGTCCCTGGACCTGTCGCTCGCGACCTGGCACGGGGCCTCCTCGGCAGCCTTCGGCCGTTTTGCCGCGGGCCGGGAAGCGGCCGGTCGCCATGCGGCAGCTGGGGCAGCATCGGATAGAGTGCAGGGTTTCAGGGTCTAGGGTTTCGAACTGAGGGTTTAGCGTTTAGGGTTCAGGGCTTGGAGTTTTTGGGGCTCGGGGCGTGGAGTTCAGTGTTTAGGGGATTCGGGCCTGGGGTATCTTCATCTCGGGACGCTCCATCATCATTGAACGTCCAGGAGATTCCAGGAGTAGAGCGATAGATGTGGGCCGTTTTGGTGACAACTAGTTGTCGTTTCGGACCAGGTAACGATGTGCACTGACATTGACTGCAAGATCTAGACTGGGTACTTCAGCCTCCGGACACTCCGACCTTCTGCCAGGTTTCTTTCGAAGCGAAGCTTTGACGCTCCGTGGTTGCAGGTTTGTTGGGGCCGCCGCGATGCCAACTTCTCGGCCTCGGTGTCGTTTCTGGAGGCTTCCGATGGTGAGCACAGCGATCAGTTGACTTTTCCGGGAGCGGCTTGCAGTGCAGAGGCCTCAGGTTGCAATTGCAAGCAATTGCACATCGCGCGTCTTTGCAGCGGCAGTTGGCAGGTTGTGGACGCACCACCCTTTCCGCGCGGAAGCTCAGCCTTGCACGGTGTGGGCTCTCGCGAGTGAGGGAACAAAGTCCGGTGGGTTGACGTTGTGCATTGGGCCGAGGGTAGGTCCTTCTTGGTGTCCGGGGTGAGTCCCAACAAGGTGCTCACAGGGCCTGTGAGCTGATTACTACTGCATCTGGCTCTGCATAAGTTTCACCTTTGCTCGTACTTAGGGCGTTTAGCCATGTGGCACCCTCCTTTCAATGTTCATCCTTGACTTGGGCTTCTGGCCTTCGCTTCGCCTCTGAGCCCCGATGGCCCTCCCGGAACGGCTGAAACTCGAAGGTCTGCTCTCCACCTCACCACCGCCTTGCCGCACGTCCCAGCTCCCGGCGCGCCTCTGAGCTCCTGTGTAGCTGGAGATGGGGAGGAGTTCAGCTCCCGCTTGCGAGTGGTCAGGGTGGTCCGAGGTGCTCCGAAATCATGTTCTGATTTTTTTGGAGGAGCCTGCAAAACCGCGCAACCCACCATATGATGACACACAGGCAGACCGGACAGTATGATCCCATCTTTGCCATCCTTTGCTTGGGCAAGCCCCAAAACTTAAACACTTGACCGAAAGCCTAAAGCCTTGACCCTGTAGCCCGACGCCTACACTCTGACAAACCTTGGTGTTTTGTGACATTAAACCTGAAGCCTCAGCCCCAAAACGAAACCAGACGCAACAGCACAAGCCGCAGCCAGCCACCGTGTTTAGGATACTGGCAAGAACACAAGACGCAGGCAACCCAAACGGTGTTGCCCTTACTGTCGATTTAGCTTAGTTGGTTAGATCTGAGTGCATGTCCGCTGAAGTGCAGCCGAAGTCAGTTAGTGAACCTACACGTTGTGTGCAGCAGCGTGGCTCCTGGTTGAAGGAAAAAGGCGTTAGTTCGTTGCGGATGTCGCATGCCGCTTGCTGAAGCCTGCAAGCCAGATTTCTGCATTGGTGCAGCGGAGCAGGGGCTCCATGGCTTCTAACGGGACGGAAGCCACGAGCGAGTCTCCAGCTGAGACTACGTGGACGCAAGAGTCGCAAGCTGCTGGCTGGTGGACAGGCTGGCAAGATTCGGCGAATGATTGGTGGGCTTGGCAACGCCCGCAGTGGAACTCCTATGCAGGAGGCAGTTGGGCGGCTTATGGCGGCAATGGCTGGAGCAGCCAATGGGGACCATCGTGGTCCGGCGATCAGTGGCGAGCAAAGCAGTGGAATGATACTTCTGAAGCCTGGAAGCAAGGGCCTCAGCCATCTTCCACGAGGAACGCCGAAGCGGCGAACGAAGCAGGAGACGACGCGGATGCAGGCCGGAGACAGTCTGCATCTACGATGGCGATGGAGGAAGATCCCTGGCTGGGCGAAGGCACAGGCTCGCTTGACGATGGGTCGTCGAGCAAAGCAACTTCGTCAAAAGCTAGTGGCAAAGACTTCATTCCGGAGTACGACGGCACAGGACCGATGAGGGAGTACCAGCGGCGAGTCAAACTGTTTGAGATTAGTACGGGTATAGATCCAAGTTTTAGGGCTCAGAAGCTGATGGAGAAGTTGACGGGTAACGCTTGGTTGGCTACTGAGTCGATTCCCTTGGAGTCACTCAAACATCCGGACGGTGTGACTCGCTTGCTGGATCACTTGTGGAAAGAGCTGGAGCCGCTTGAGTTCTTGAGAACGTTTCAGACTCTGGCAGACTTCTACAAGGGCTTTCGCCGCACTCGGGGACAAGAGTTTGTCGCCTATGACATGGAGTTTCGGCGGCATGGACAGAGGCTTGAGGAAATCCAGGCTGGACTCAGTGGGGTCACGAAGGCTTACTGGTTTCTGGAGAAGGCCGGGCTTTCCCCAGAGCTTAGGAAGCAGGTGGTGGCAGCTGCGGGAGGACAGTATGATTACAACAAGCTACGGGCCGCTGTCATGGCGATTGTCCCTCAGGTGAACAAGGAGGAGGAGAGTTCAGCGGGTGGCAGTGCCAATCCAGGCAGACAGTGGAGAAAAGCCCCCGCGAAGGTTCACGCCACCGTCGAAGATGAGAACATCGGGACAGGGGAAACCGAGGAAGACAATGATGATATGATCCCCGAGGCATTGGAGGAGGAACTTCAGTGTTTGCTTACGCAGGCAGCTAAGAAAAGAGCTCAGGTGGAAAAAGCGAGGGGTTTCTCGAGCACGGCAAGCAGAAAGAATGAGACGCCAGAGGCCAGAGCCAAGAGGATTGCCGAGCTGAAACAGCGCATGCCTTGCAGCGCGTGCAAATCGCACGGCCGTACAAGCTACGGCCACTGGCACAGCGATCCGGAGTGCCCCTTCCGATCGCAGAAGCCTCCGAAGACTGGTGAAAGCGTCTTAGCCGTGGTCGAAGAGGAGCTCTCGGATTCCGATGGATATGGACCTCTGGAGGCCAGCATTTTCATGACTGATGCTAGGGATGTGAGTCTGAGCGAGCCATTCTGGTGCGCAAGCGCGATCACGGCGCCAGAAGCGGGCAAAGGTGAGCGCTTCCTGGCATTGTCTGACACATGCTGCGCCAGGTCAGTTGCCGGTTTGGTGTGGGCCCAGGATCACATTAAGCATCTACATCAGAGTGGGATTGATGCTTACATTGTGAATGAGGCCAGGCCTTTCCGTTTTGGAGCTGGACCACGGATTTCGTCGGAGTTTAGCATGGTGATTCCGTTGAGAGTTCAGGGGGCCGAGTGCACACCATGGGTGCGAATCAGTGTCGTGGATCAAGAGGTCCCACTCCTCTTGAGTAAGAGCGCGCTCAAAGCCTTGGGAGCTCGATTGGATTTGGGACAGGCCCAGGTGGAGTTCACCGTCCTTGGAACCACTACCCCTCTGATAGAGACACCGACTGGTTTGTGCGGGTTCCTTATCAACCACCCTGAATACCTCAACTCCGGACCAGGTTTGGAGAGTTTGCCTCCTCGAGAGATGCTGGAAGGTGAATTGGAGGTTTGTGTCGACCCACGATCAAATGACCAGGGCGAGGTAGGACACCATGAATCGGTGAATGTTGCCAAAGAGGGTGGAGGCATGCCGGACGGAGAATACATGGCCTGTGAACGCTTGGCCAAGGAGCTTCTCAGGGTCGAGGATTTTTCATACGATGCTTTGCAGAGTGTGGTTGAACTTCTACCATGTATCAATCCCAAACATCAAAGAGCTATCAACGTGCCTAACGGACGCATGGCAGGCATCATGGCAGGTGCATGGGCTCACGGGAAGTTCAGTGGAGTGGCAAAATCTGCTGAGAGATTTCCTGTGACCATTCGTTACATCAATGAAGCCATGAAGAGCAGGGTCCAGGCTCCTTGGACCTCCTTCGTCGTGATGAAGAACATCAAGACCGCCATCCACAAGGATAACCACAACAGGACTGATAGTGCCACAGTCACCGTATCCTTTGGAGATTTCAAGGGTGGAGAGTTGTGGGTGGCAGCAGAGAGTTCTGAATCAGGCGATAAGCCGGCGTATCGAAAAGGGCCTGCAGGCAAGAGGATTGCTGGCACGATTATCGACACGAGGCACAAGCCGTATATGCTGTCGCCTAAGGTTCCGCATGGCACTCAGCCGTGGACCGGAAACAGGTGGTGTTTGTCGTGCTACACTTCCCGTGCTGAGAGAGATCTTGATGCCACTTCGCGAAAGACGTTGACTGCACTTGGTTTTCCATTGAGCACCGTCCCAAGGACCAGGACCTCTGGGAACACAGTGCGTGTATGTCAGACTTCACCCGATGACCAGGAGCCACATGAATTTAGGGGTGAAGTAGCAAGCCCAATACCACAAACTCCGCTTCATGTGATCGATAGCTCAGTGGCCCAGTCCGAGTGTAGTGTTGACCATCGCGAAGAACCTCCAGCAGGTGACCGAGATCATCCCCATGGCGGCGAAGTTCACAGCACCGCGTCGCAAGGACGAGTTCGTGAATGCTATCAATGCGCGGACCAACCTCAGCACAGCAGAGCTGCGGCAGCACGACATGGAGAGGCTGAAGAAGATTTGGATGCTGGTTCGACCGAAGAAGCCCCAGTCGCCATTGCCGACGGGATGGAAAAAGATGGACGTCGAGTCGCTCAAGCAGATCTACGACGAGCATGTTCGCCCAGATCTGGAACGACCCCGGGATCGACACTGGATTCGTTGGAATCGGCCTCAGTTGGTCATGGAGATTTCTATGTGGGAGACGGAGGTGATGGAGGGGGCCGAGCCCGAAGAGCTCTTCCACGACACTCCTCTGTGTTCTCGCTGCAAGATACCTATGTGTGTCCGGACCAACAGGGTCACGAAGACAGACTTCCTGGGATGTGTTCGGTTCCCAATGTGCAAGGAAACGCTTCCGCTTCAGTACAATGGAATGCCGACCAAGACGGTCATCGAGCAGCTCGACGAGAAGGACAACAAGAAGGACAAGAAGGGCTATCCGGAGCCCAAGAGAGGGATAATCGGCCATCGTCGTCCCCCTCCTTCGTTGAGCGAGCATCGAGGCGTGTCCTCCGATGGGTCCTGGGCGATGACGGGGGCTCAGCCGGTGGACGAGACGGAGGCGGAAGAGTCCGCTCCCTTGATCAATGCCAACCTGACGCCCGAGGAGCTCGAGGTGATCGCGGAACTTCGGAAGGCCAGAGCGAGCGAGGAGAAGTGAGCGGTCCTTCTGAGGCCAACGCCACGGCAGGTGAGTCAGCCATTTCTGGTGAAAACGGGAGTCAAGCCGATGAGATTTGTAATGAGAGTTGTGAACCTTTGCGGCTCCCGAGGAATCCACAGGAAGTGCGAAGTAGGATTTTAGAGGGTAACGAACGTCGTAAGTTGGCGAAGCGAGGCACTTTCAAACGACTCCTCGGAAACGCGAAGGCGCTTGCTGCTAGCGTGATGATTGCATCAACAGCAGCCATCGGTATGGCTATGCAGTCTGTTCCCAGGTCGGCGATGATACGACCGGATGTTCTGAAGTGTGTGATGGAGAAGCGCAAGTCACACATAAGTTTAGCCGATGGGGATGGAGTGCTGTTCGTCCGTTGGACCTGAGACTTGGTGGTGACGGATATGATGCCAGTGGTAGTGTGAAACTCCTTGAATGGATCGATCGCTGTCAGCCACGTTTGGTCGTTTTGAGTTATCCTCACGCCTTGTGGTCGTCTCTTGGTGCGCCTTTACCGAGAACTTCGCAAGAGATCCGTAGGAATCGGAAGACCCATGATAGGCACCAGTGGTTTCTTCAATTCACGGAACAAGTGTTTGAGCGACAGATCAAGCGTGGGGATGACGCTCTTGCTGAGAGCCCTGTGGCGAGCGCTTCGTTCAAGTCGGCTCCGATTCAGAGAGTGTTGAATCATCCTGAGGTCTATTCAGCAGTCAGCGAAACTTGCAAAGAAACTAGGAGGGCCAGTGATCGGGTGTCTAATACGAAGTCCACCCTTTGGCTCAGCACGTCCGTGGAAATCTGTGAGGAGTTGGCTCTTCGATGTTCGGGGCCCTCTTCCCAACAGGGAGGGGTGCCTCAGAATGATTCGCAAAGCAGGGTTGCGGCGGCAATATGCAGAGGTTATGTGAAGAATCTTAGGCGTCGAGATCCCGGTAGGATAAGACGTATGTTGAGAAATGTTGCCGCACGCATACGTGCTAACAAGAACCGACCAATCGTCCAAGATCTTCGTTGGAACGAGAAAAACATAGCCAAAGCGTTGTCGAGATGGCATGCCGTGTTTGCGGTGGGATCCTCTAGTGCAGGGGACCCTGTAACAGATCAGCCCATGAACCCACCCCTGGAGGACTCAGATGGAGATGAGTTGATCGAAGACGCTCCAATGGGCGATGCCGATGCTCCGATGAGAACTGGTCTGGCGCACGACGGGATCAGCTTCGACATTCCGGCTGGGAGGAGACTGAGTCCTGAGATTCGGAATGGTTTGAAGAAGGCACATTGCAACTTAGGCCACCCTAGTAAGGAGGATCTTCAGCGGTTTCTTAGGTTAGGTGGTGCTAAACAAGAAGTCATTGAGGCGGTTACGTGGATGAAGTGTGTTGCGTGTGCTCATTCTTCGAAACCTAAAGCTCACAGGGCGAGTAGCATTCCTCCATGTGCCGTCGTGTTTGGAGATGAAGTTCATTTGGACTGTATCTGTTTGCACGACAGCAAAGCTGAGGCACATTGGTTCTTGTCTGTCATTGATAGGGCCACTAGCTACCACATGATTGAACTTCTTCGCGATCACAGTCCCCTTGAACTGAACAAGGCTTTTGACAGGGCATGGGCCAAGTGGGCCGGACCTCCTATGCGGGTGACTGTTGATTTTGAGGGAGGTTTTCGTGGTAAAGAGTTTTGGACTAAAGTAGGGGAAGCAGGCACCTCACTTGTGTCCATTGCGGGGACAGCTCATTGGCAGGCCGGAAAGGTTGAACGTCACAATCAAACAGTGAAAGACATGTTGAGGACAGTCATCAGACAGACTGGAGCGAAGGGCAGAGAGGATATGAAGTTGGTTGCGAGAGAGGTTGGATGGGCTAAGAATACTTTGGTGAGAGAGCATGGTTGGTCGTCGGTTGCTCTTGTGTTTGGTCGTGAACCGAGAGTCTATGGGGAACTTCATAGTCAAGGGGGGCCGCATGCTTATCACCCGAGGGTTGGAGACGCTGATAGCGAAGTCGCTCGTAGGATGCGGTACAGGTATCATGCCAAACTGGAGTATATCAAGGCTCAGGCCCGTCAGATGCTTGCTCGAACTGCTCATGATCGTGTGCGTAAAATCACGAATCCTCGCATTGGTCAGCTTGTGTTCTTCTGGAGAGCTGAGAGAAAGAGAGAGCCCAGTCGGTGGGTTGGTCCGGGTTATATTGTGGGCATTCAGGGTCACAACGCCTGGGTCGCCATAGGTGGTAGGTGTTTTCTGGTGGCGGGAGAGCATCTGCGTGAGGCCTGTGGAGACGAGAGACATTACGGGGATCCCCAGATCCAGAAAAGCATTGCCATGTTTCGTAAAGCCCCTAAAGAATCTACTTTTGAGGATCTTACGCGCCAGCAGGACCCCACTGAGGAGCCTATGGAGGTGGAGCAGCAACCGTTAGTCCAGGAAGTGGCTAGGGAGGTTGGTGATGTTGAGGAGGGCATTACCCAACTTCCTCGGGATCTTGTTCCTTTGGTGGGTAAGCTTGGATGGCATGTGGATGGACAAGGCAACCCGACTCTGGTGAGCTATCAGTCGTGGGCCTATCGGACCCCCGAGGAGAGATATGAGCCTCATCGTTTCCCGTATCGTACTACGTGGGCTAGACATGATGGCGAGTGGATTTGTCTTGAGAAGGAAGTGAAATGGATGGAGTTGGATAACCCCCACGAGTATCTTCCCAATGCCCCACTTGAGATTCTCATCACTAGTTTCCAAGGAAGGACGAGGAAGGAGGTTTGTTTGGAGGATGTCCCCGCGGCCATAAAGAGGAGGAAGGCTGATGCCCAGGTCCACACCGTTCAACATGGGAAGGTTTTGGGGAAGAATAAACTGAAGAAGATGATGGAGAAAGAAATCCCCTATGAGAAGATACCCGAGAGTCAGAGAGGTTTGTACAAGGAGGCGGAAGAGAAGGAGTGGGCTAGTTGGCGACAGTATGAGAGCTGTGAGGTCTTGAGTGAGGAAGAGAGTAGAAGAGTGGAGAAAGAGAGTCCGAAACGTATATTGCCAAGTAGGTTTGTCTATCGTAACAAACATGCGGGCCTCGTCGATGACAAGGGTAACGCCTTGCCGGTTCGGGCTAAGGCTAGACTTTGCCTGCAGGGCCACCTCTGCCCTGATTCGAGAACAGGCCTTGTCCAAGTGGACAGCCCTACAGTTGAGAGAGTCTCCACTATGATATTCCTTCATATGGCTATCTCGTATGGGTGGCTCCAACATTGGCATGTCGGTGACATTTCGAACGCGTTCCTCCAAGGTGCCCCTCTCAAAGATAAGGAACCTATGTTCATGCGTCCACCCAAACAGGGATTGGCAGGCGTGAAATCGAATCAGTTGCTTCGCCTGCTCAAACCCGTCTACGGACGGCCAGACGCGCCTAGGGCGTGGTACGAAGAGCTCGCTAAGGTCTTGACCCAGGAACTTGGTTTTACCAAATCACATATTGACCCTGCACTTTTCATGTTGAGAGATTCCGAAGGAAAACTCATTGGGTGCATGATCATTCATGTTGATGATCTTATGGTTTGCCATGACGGGTCGGATCATGCGAAGGAAGTGGTCAGTAGGCTGTGCAAGCAGTTCCCGTTCGGCACCTGGGATAGGGTCCTTGATAAACCTGAGGGTGTTACTTACTGCGGTAAAGAGATCAAGGTTGTCGAACGGAACGGCGAGCAACAAATCGTTTTGTCTCAGGATGGTTTCATAGATGGCCGGCTTGAAGAAATGGAAGTTAGTAGGGACAGGCGCTTGAATCCTGAAAGCTACGCTACTGATGAAGAGAAGGCCAACTATAGATCCATTGTTGGAAGCTTGCAGTGGTTGGCTACCCAGTCAAGGCCCGACAGTTCCTTCGAAACAAATCAGCTGCAGAAACGTATCTCTGACCTGAGAGTGTTTGACTTGATGCGTGCTAACAAGACTGTGAAGGATGTCAGGGCCAATCGCATGCAACTTGTCTTCAAGAACTTGGGTAGGGACGCTCAGCTGATCGTGTACACGGATGCCGGTCTGTATTCGAGCGTCGGTGTCGAGATTGACGGGAGAGAGTGTGATGACATTTTGTTGTCGCAGAAAGATCGCCGGTTGGTGTACTCTCAGAAAGGAGCGTTCGTTGGATTCGTGAAACAGGGCTCGACTGATGTGAAAGTGGTTCCTAATCACATCAACATCATAGACTGGCGCAGTAGTACGAACAAGAGAGTGATCGAGTCCAGTTTTGCGGGAGAGACGCATGCTGCTCTGATGGCGCTCGGCATGGGACATTTCTGTCAGGTGTTAATGTGTGAGCTTCGTTATGGGTCTCAGATTGTGAGTAGTGTCGATGATGATGGTTGGTGCGATTTAATGCCTATGACTGTTGTTACCGATTGTAAATCTATTTATGACACGGTCCATAAGGATGGGCAGCACATATCTGACAAGTCGAGTGTGATCCATGCAGTGCTTCTCCGTCAGATGCTTTCCACGCGGGGCGCATCAGGTAAAGCCAGACTCCTTTGGGTTCCCACTAGGCATCAACTGGCTGATGGTTTGACGAAGGGTGCTAGATCAAAGGATGTCAGGGAACAAATCCGGTGCGGCGTGGTTTTTAAAGAAGAAGCTGCCAAGCGGAAGTGCTCAGATCCAAAAGAGATTTTGGTCAGTGTCGATTTGGCTTAGTTGGTTAGATCTGAGTGCATGTCCGCTGAAGTGCAGCCGAAGTCAGTTAGTGAACCTACACGTTGTGTGCAGCAGCGTGGCTCCTGGTTGAAGGAAAAAGGCGTTAGTTCGTTGCGGATGTCGCATGCCGCTTGCTGAAGCCTGCAAGCCAGATTTCTGCACTTACAGCCCTCCTCTCCCCCGTAACGTTAAACATGCCAGTTCCCACTCAGGATCCAGCCCCAATACCAAGAATTGTTCGAGAACTAGGATTGTGGCCACAACTCTCGGAGGTGTCCTGGCTTTCCAGACAAATGGGGCAGCACCGTATAGTGAGGCCGCGCTTCCGTGCGGGAACTCAAGCCAGCACACAGCTCGGCCCACTTGCTTCCATTGATAGTTTTAGTTCGGATGCACGATGCCTCTATGCTGGTGATTTGATCGGTACGCCACAACAGAACTGACAAAAACACATCCCCAAAGGATCCCCACGTACTCTTCGGCAGCGATAGTCTTTGCAAAGTTATTCGAAGCATCGCGGCGACCCTAAGTTAGTCTAAGCGCCTGTGGAAAACAGAGCTGGATCTTGCAATGGGCGAGGGCTTATAGGACGGAAGCCATCCGACGCACACATCTTCTTGATTGACAGTGTTTACAGGTGATGAAAGTGTTTCAGGTACCCGACTTGCAAAAAGGAAACAGAAATAATACGCTTGAGATATCAATCTAGCCGCTCTAGCCATTCCTAGCATGGCACACAGGCAGACAAAATCAACCTACAGAACTTGTGGAACGCCGAGCATTTACAGTATTGGAATCCGAATAGCTCGGTTTCGCAAGGACATCGAGAACCCGTCTTGAACCAAAGACGGTCAGGTTTGGTTCAGGACGGTGCTGCCTAACAATCCGAGATGGTAATTAATGAACAGCTCGGATAAGTGTATTAGTCGGATATGTTCCCTTAAAATACTGATGTAACTGATGTAGATGAAAGGGGCTAGTATAGGGTCGGAATAACTTCTGATACGATACCATCCTCTTGGAGTCCTTATAGACATATAGAAAATATCTGTATATGCATCGTACATGACTAGACCCCAAAACCCTACTCAAACAATTACGGCCCCGAGAACCCTTAAACCAACCCCCTAGACTCAACCTCATTCTAATCAGTAAGGTCCGAATATCGCAATCATCTTGCCTTTGGTTAGTAGGGAATGGAGGAAAGGGGTATAATTATAACTACTATTGCTACCATTCTTCCATTCCCTTCTAACCAAAGGTAAGATCATCCATGCCAGGCTGCTGGACCTATGCGCCTGGCTTTGACTTTTCGCACCTCCAGCCCACTCCGCTGCTAGCTTGCAGAGACTGTGGTGGGGTTGAGGGTTTCAGGGGTCCGGGAATTTGGGTTCAGGGTTTTAACTGCGCAGTCTTGTTTACGTATATGTTCAATGCTAGCTGAATGAAGGCATCTCTATGCGCCTCCCCTCGTGTGATATGCGGTAGTTGTAGGGTGCACCAAAAGTTTCTGAACCGAACGAGCCGGCATGAGTCCATGTGTCGAACTTATCTGTCGCGTGATGTCGCGTGACTTCCAAGGCCATGCCTTCAGTCCTGCTGATGACAGCAGTGCCCTCAGTGTGCATTGTGCTTTGCTATGGCCTCAGGCTTGAGTCGCAATAGACACTGGCCGGGCATCTTGCAGGGCCTCTCTTTTTTTAGGTTTTGTTTTTTTGGTCCGATTCCTTCCAATTTTCCTTGCACTTTGGACGGATTTCGTGCCATGTTCGTATTTGCCACAAATCTCCCCGATCTCCTGCCGCAGCTTCTCCAGTGGCTCCGCCTAGCTCAGACAATGCTTCAAATGCTGTTTCATCTGGTTTGGTCCGCCCGGTTCCGGCGCCTGGAAAACCATGGGTGAGACGCAACCGTCGCAAAACTGAAGCAGCACATTTTTTGTGCAAAACGGCGGCAAGCTGGATTCCCCATGTTGGTTCGGCCCCGATCGCATCATGCCCGGCACAGACGTGAGGACGGCGCTGCAACAGTCGTGGCACAATGCCACCCTCATTCCCGCATGCAAGTTTGCTACGTTTTCCTTAGCCTTAGGACAAACCTTTAGAAAATGGCACGAAGTCCGTCCACGTGTCATGGAAATAGTTCGTGCCCTAAGAAAACCAAGAAAACGAAAACACATCGCACAAAAAAGCCACCCAACCATCTTTGCGCATGAGAAATTGTAGGGAAGCTACAAGCGCCTTCATGGAAGTAAAGCCAAAACCCTAAACCTTAAACACCGCAAAGAGGTGTTGCGACTGCCGTGAGCTACGACCAAGCAGCGCAGGAGGTTTGCCGGCCTTGCTTGGCCAAATGTCCAGGGCTTGTCTAAGACAAACCAGTTTAGGAAGAAGGGCATATGTGATCGAGTATACCATGATGATTGGTTTTAACTTTAGCAGCTTTCCCATGCAGGACCGCAGGATCTT